CACATGGATAACCTGGTCTTTTTAACATGTAATTTAGGGAGGATTTGTTTGTTGTAACTAGATAAGGTCAACACTTTAATTAGGTGCTAGATCCCTTTGTGATGATGGACTGGTCTGTGTTCTTCAGAATATACCATCACCATGTATGATACCAAAACCCGTGAGCTCCGCTGGAATGCCACCTACTTTGACTATGCAGCCTCACTGCCCGAGGACGACATGGACTACAGTAAGTGCTCCTCGTGGGCTGCATGAGGTTGGCAGGCACAGTCCATCTATGGGAAATGACCTCTCCAGAAAGAGGATTTCCTTTAAGATACTCTTCATCACTGGGTTTTGGGCTTGCTGTTGGCTTGAAGTAAAAATGTCCCAGTCAATATGACAGGGCCTGGGTGAGAAGTCTGAGGGGAACCAAAGTAGAATGGTAGTGAGTTTAGATGAAGAGGAAGGAGGGCATACCTTGTTGAGTTTCTGTGTGTCACAGAAGAAATTTATAAGCCCGTGGACACTATAATTAAACATCAGCACATAAGCCAGGCACAGTGACACATGCCTGTAATCCTAGCTACTCTTAACATTGAGGCAGGAGGATGGCAAGTTTGAGGCCAACCTCAACAATTTAGTGATGACTCTGTCTCAAAATAAAAAATAAAAGGGCTGGATTGTAGCTCAGTTGTAAAGCACCCCCCAGGTTCAGTATCCAGTACAGGGGACTGGGGGCACAGCATGTGTTATCAACAGCCTCATCAAGAAGGCTACTCTAACTGTGGCTCATCCCCTAATTATTTCTCTAATCTACACTCCTCCAACTCAAATGATAACTAAAAACCAATTTGATCATCTTAACCTTAGTATCCGAAAATATGACTCTGCCTAGAATATTTTCATCTCTCTCTCTCTCTCTGAATGCTTCTTTGTGAGTGAGGTGCTCATAAGTCTGATTTGTAGCTTGATCTATGGATTTCAAACAATGCTATAAAATTTCAGATTAATAGGCAGTTCTATTGTCTCCTCTCTCCTTAGTATTTACTCACTTATTAAACAGAATTGCAGAGAACATGACTGAAGAAATTGCCTTTGGGGGAATGGTCCTATCTTAGGTTTATACTGCAGGCAACCCTCAGTGTCTTGATATCAGGGTACCTGAACAAGTTCATGGAAACCATAAATTGTTCTGAGAATATTTTAGAAGTCTTGTTTTCTCTGAGTGACCGCAGCTTGCCAAGAGAGTAGAGGATGTGGTTGTGGGATAGAGTGAGACAGAATGTACTTTTTTTGTTTGATCTTTACAGAGATGTCCCACTTTGTGTCCAATGGTGATGGACTCGTGGTGACTGTGGACAGCGAATCTGGGGACGTCCTGTGGATTCAAAACTATGCCTCTCCAGTGGTGGCCTTCTATGTCTGGCAGCGGGAGGGTCTGAGGAAGGTGATGCACATCAATGTTGCTGTGGAGACCCTACGCTACCTGACCTTCATGTCTGGGGAGGTGGGTCGCATCACCAAGTGGAAGTACCCGTTCCCCAAAGAGACGGAGGCCAAGAGCAAACTGACGTGAGTCAGGGAACTCAGGGCGGAGGGTGGCAGCTGTGACACTGACATTTAGTGTACCCTACATTGGAGGAGGCTAGGGGGCAAGACAGATGTCTCCAAGGCCTTGAGGAGCATCATGAGCCAAGACTGTCTCAATTAGAAACCCTAGAATATAAATACCAGGGGTTACCCCTGAATGCATCAGAGCTCTTGAATGTTAAGTCAAATTTTGGGGTGAGAATGAGAAGGAAACTGCGGAAATAACTATAATACAATTTGGCTATATCTCTTGTGGAAATAGAAGAAATCTAAATTATTTATTTATTTGTTTTTGGTACCAGGGTTTGAACCCCAGAGATGCTTGACCACTGAGCCACATCCCAGCCCTTTTTATTTTTTATTTTGAGACAGGATCTCGCTAAGTTGCTAAGGCTGGCTTAAATCGTCCTGCCTAAACCTCCTGAGTCGCTAGTATTATAAACATGCACCACTGTGCATGGCTAGAAATTTATTTTTTTTTAACTTCATGTATTTTCTAAGTTTTTATTGTAAGCTGAGTTCATTTTAAAAAGCAGAAGAAAAAAAAGTGGTATGATATATCAAAGACTCAGTAGGCTGTGTTTTCCATCCCAACCTACTAATAACCTGTCACGAAGTCACTTAACTATGGCTAGCCTCAGTTTCCCACTTTACAGAGTTGTGGGAAATATAAAGAAGATAATGTACATGAAAGTGTTGTCTAAATTGTAAGACACTGCTCCTATGGAAGGTGTTTGTTGAAAGAGGCTTGGTGATTTAGTTTACCCTACTGGCTCCACAAAGGCTGTATATAGTAGTAGCCAGAAGCATCTAGAGGTGCAGCTTCCACTGTTTGTACACTGATACTGTCATCAGCCATGGCCCCATCCCCTCCACACTGCCCCAGACACGGACAGACCACCTAGCTAGGGGACTGGAAGCTCTTACAAATCCCTCTGCTCTGGGCATCTGGAGGAGAGCAGTTAACTGTTCCTCCAGGCCTCT